TACCGCCAACAAATGTTGGGGAAACGCGCAAGACACGTGCCACGAGCGGGTGCTGCGCCGCTATTCGCTTTCGAGGGCCAGTCATTTTTAGTGCTGCGCCGCCATTTGCCTCTAAGGGCCGCTCGAGACACCGACCTCGTGCAGTGGCACATTTGACGTTATTTGAGAACCAACGCAAACACATTGAGGGGATTTAGTCCCTATGGGTTCTGCAGCGTGAGCTCCGTGCTTTGAACGGAGCTCGCGCTCGAGCATTTCTCCACGTGATCTACAGGGAGTTTTACCGCCGAATTCAGAAACCTCACTCAAACTACGCTCAAACTGAAGGGCCCCTCCGCTTCCTCGAGGAAGGCGCGAGGGCCGGCGCTGGCCAATCGCGACGGCGGATCCGTCCTCGCGATTGGCCAGCGCCGGCCCTCGCGCCTTCCTTGAGGAACTGGAGGGGCCCTTCAGTTTGAGTGTATTTTGAGTGAGGTTTCTGAATTCGGCGGTTAGTCGATCGTTTTCAAAGGCCCGCTACCGCTACGAGCGCGCGCTTCAGAGCATGCATCGAAGTGGCAGCGCGAGCTCTTGCTACGATTAGCGTGGCCTGAAAACACGATGTACTAAAACTCTCTGCTTTCGGCCAATGATCCCCCGCCGCACTTGGTTTAGCCTGTGAGCTAAACCAAATGAGCTACGCTTAGAGTACCGGCACTTTTTCACCCGATATTGTTGTGCGCGCCGCCATCTTGGGTGTTAGTAACAAATCAAACGCAACTGCCAATCGTCATGACTCATAAGTCCGACTTCCTCAGCCTTAGTTTCGGTGTCAGGAAGCTCATGCAATATTGCTTTGCTTTGTCGCGAAATGTTTAAACATTTGTGAAGGACGAAAAAGAGTTTTCTGTGATTTCAGATAAAGCTTCAGATAACTGACAACCATCATTTTAAGCACCAAGATGTGTATGAAGCGTAGCTTATTTAGTGGCTTTAGTTTAGCCCGACCACACAGGCACAGAAAAAGAACGAACATCTTAACCTCAAGCTCTTGGCGCTAATTCAGTGACTTCATCAGCCCGTAGCGTTGGATGGGCTCCGAACATAAGGTAAAGCAAAGCAAATATTCAGATCGTAGGTTTTCACAAGCCCAGACAACAAAGACTACTTAACACGCCCCAATAAAAAAAATGCGGGTTTATTTCGATTAACTCCGTCGGCCGCCATTTTCCTATTGAACTTTTCAAAAAATCACATAACTTTTGAATAAGGTATCGGATTGGGCTGAAACTTTGACATCTAGTTGTGACCTATAGCGCTCCCTTTCGGCGGAAATGAGCGTTCGTGGATGCCTAATTCATTCTTGCGGTAAAAAAAAAAAAAAAAAAAAAAAAAAACCTGTAATATTTTTGTTTTGTGACACACTGTACTTTGCTTAACTATGTGCACAAGCTATCAACAGACACAGAATCTTTGCCTGGCCAGTCATTGCATTTATCACTGAATTCGTATTAAAATCAATTCTTATTGTTTATTGCTGTGAGTCAATTTTTAACCTCTGCATTTGTTTTTCTTTTGACGTGCAACCGAAATCTCAGATTGGCCTCCGTCGGATTGCGGGCGGCCGATATTTAAACCCGACAAGTATGGATTCATGGGTTAGACACTGGGACGATTTAATATTTTGTGTTTTATTTTAATATCATTGCCACTTAAAAGCCACCGAGGTGGTTTATGAAAAAAAAAATATATTCAAACCATTCTGACAAGCATAGTTTGACTGTGAAAATGATTTTTGCAAGTCATGAAAACATTAAAATGCTTTCGCATACGTGGCGGAATCTGAAATGGCAGAATCCATTTCATGGCGCCCATCTCATTTGAATCGCGACGGGCATGTGTACCGACGCACAGTAGAACGCGCGCAAAAGCAGCTGTGATGCACCCGCAGCCTCGCGCTTGTTGTTCTGACATCTCTGGCTCGCTCACTGTGGGCATCCAGGCATCTGACACCCTGACATCTGGCGCTTTTTCTGTCTTTCGCGTGGCGTTCGAAACGGCACACGACGGAAAATGCACATCAAGCTATTCTTGAACACGTGTCGCCATCTGTACTTTATATTAAGAAACTACAATTTGCCGTAACTGAATGGGAAACGTTTGAGGTCTTATAACATTTTTAACGTGTAATATATTAATATGAAATTTAAAAAAATGTAATATCGAAGGATGCTTCATAATTTAATGTCTCGTTATTTTGGTTAGTTGACGTGATTGTTTTTATAGCGCCATCAAATAACGTCATCTTAAACTTTTTTTTATTTTAAAATATACATTATCTGTACAATATGCTGCTTACTTTTTTTAATTTATTACGTCGAGCCGAACGTTCACGTAAAATATCTTGGACGATAAGAAGTTATAACTCGAGAAATAATTGTTTCAATATTAGAAACTATGGTATAGTAAAAGCTGAATAAAAAACTAACAACTAAAAATTATCGTAATATCGAGACATTAAACTATTGTTGAAAAACAGCTCTTTAATTTGACATCAACTTTATATTTGTAAGATACGTAGAAAGAAAGTTATAAAGCGTCAAAAAAGCACCAAAACGTCATGCACGGTGGGGTTGCATCTTAAAGGGCCTCTGACACGCCAACAAAATTCAAAGTGCCCGCCAATGCCCTGTGACGTAACAATGCACCGCAAGGTGTCGGGACGGTCAGAAGGGAGGCATCGACCTACGTCACTAAAGGTGCGTTCGCCGGAAGTCACGCGAGTTTCACTCCTCGTGCTCTCCACGTCCGTGCCTAAGACTTTTTTTAATTTGTTATTCTGTTTTTTTTTTTCCACGAGCGATCGTAGAAAACGAATTTTCAGTTCCACTAGCTTTTTATCGCTGCACCGTTGGTTAGTTTGCGTGCTGTAATAGTTGAGGACGAAGTCAGTGGATCGACGTGATGGAGGCCAATGATGAAAGCGTTGCGAGTACAAGCCAGTACACGAGTGCATGCCATCAGTCCGATGGTACAGAGCCATATTTGGCACAACACAAACAATCGAGTTTTGAAAAAAAAAATTAGAACGCTCGCAGAAATTAGGATTGGCAGCAACGACACGCCCAATCGCACTGCTAAAGGTTCAAACACCGAGGTCGTCGAATCATCGGACACTGTACAGGCCGAAGATGCCTGTCGTCTAGAGAATACGAACTGGTGAGTTTAACAAGTACAAGTAAACGTCGAGCATAAAGTACGTGTTTTGTCTAGAACATGAGTACAGCTTGTTTACTAGGTTCACTGACTCCTCTCCTTCTACCTTTACAGCAACATTAGGCGATGAAAAGCAAATAAATGACACCTTGTCTGCTTGTATCGCTCACGGAGGTGCGAAGAATAACAAAAATATATTAAAAAAAAATATTACACGTGGTCCCGGTAAGCACGAGGAGTGATACAACTCACGTGACTTCCGGCGATGCCTCAATTCTGACCGCCCCGACATCTTGCGGTACACTGTTACGTCACAGGACACTGGCGGGCGCTTTAAATTGGGCTTCGTACTTCCATTTTTTATTAAAAAAAAACTACGCAACTCTAAAGTGAAAACAAAAAATTGGTGATGTCCTGATACACCATTTTAACGCCTAGCATAAGAAAACAATTTTTTTTTTTTGCGTGTTAGAGGTTTTTGAATGAGAAAATTCGACACACAAGTGCAGCAGGCAAAACTTATATGAAACACACAAACTGCGTGTTTTTTTTTTTTTGTTTTTTTTTATGACAGCGTTAATAGGAGGAAGCCGAGCAACGGTTTTGAAACGCAGAACTCAACAAGCTATAAGGAAGTGCTACGTCAAGGAAACGTCGTTCGTCTTCCTCCAGGATAGAGCTACCATGAGAAAACACACAGTTCGCCTGTTCCGCATAAGTTTGGTGAGCATTGTACAATATGCCAGCCTCCTTTGTACTTACAAAGCCTGGCAGTTCGACGACGGAGCCATAGAGTGCCCGGTCGCAGATTTGGAGCGCGAGGATCTGGTAGCAGAGAGTATTTCTGGTATTCAGCGCACAGCTTCTGCAGCGGCGAGGACCCGAAACATGGTTTTCAAACTTGACGAGAAAAGAAGCGGCAGCGCGAAGAACGCGAGCAGCAGAGCAGACATGCCATCGCTCGGGAGAAATGTGCTTCGGCGTCTCGCCGCAGCGGGACGCCAGTAACATGCCTCTCCTCTCATTCGTTGTCTACTGCACTACCTTTTCACTTTCGGCGGCTGCGTCTCGTGGCGATCTGCCAGGTTTTGTAAGTATACATAGGCTATGAATATGCAATCGAAATGGAGGCCTCTATGGCATGTTTTTCTATGAAGTTTATTGCATGGTAAATTGAGAAGTAATCCTTATTAACTGTTAAAGACCTCTTACACAATTACCTAGATTTGTTTGTTTCGCTCCGTGGGATTCTATCAATCCACCTGAAAACTTCAAAGATATATAGAGTTCAGTTTAGGTCGTTATGAGTTATACTCAGTCGTATTAAGTTGCGCACAAAGTCCAGCGTGCACACAGCGGTGGCACAGGATTGACAACCTTTCCTATGTCGCTTATACCTCTCGACATTTCAATTTCATACCCATAATGTGTAATCCGCAGGTGCACACGGTACACAAAACGCCTGATAAAACACAATATTGAAGAATATAAAAAACTATTGAATGTCTCGCGTTGCGAGGCATTGTTTCGGAACCTAGAATGTAACTTTCCGATCATCTTCTCTGACATCGGACATCCTGTCCTTGGTATTGTTTTGGGGGTCAGAAATGTTGACCTTCCGAGTGCGGTGTCGCCGGTGTCGGTGTCTATGTTGTTTTGTTTTCGCCAGCTTGGTTCGAGGCGGCCCGTTCGGAGAGGCCTCGGGCTGACAGAGCTCGGCTTGAATTGGCTGGGCTTGAGATGGTTTGACTTGAAACGACTCGACATGAAGCAGCTCGGTTTCAGCAGGCTCGGTTTGAACTGACCCGGCTTGAAGTGGGTCGGTTTCAGCAGGCTCGGCCTGAATTGGCTCGGCTTGAGATTGCCCGCCCAAATAAGGGCTCGTCTCGGAGGTGTCGTCGTCGGGCGTCGGCGACGGCCGAGGCTGCTGAAACGAGAGTGCTTTGAACGCCGCTTCAAGGACCGGATAGCGCCGAAGCACAGCGTGGAAGTCGGTTGCCAGGAGAGAGAAAACGCAGCAGTGCGTTTCGGCCACCACGTTCCTCTTGCGCACAGTGGGACCCAGAAGGCAAGCCTCTGCAGCGGAGGTTGACGATGTAAAGCGGACAACAAAAGTCGGCTGTCGGACATAACAGGACGCTCACACGTGCATTTTAGTAGGACAATCATCGTATTAAACTTTTAGACACCAATGCAATCTGTGTAAAAACCAAATCTCTTTTTTTTATAAGAACTATTTGAACATTGGCCATCCTCTAGCATAGTAAAAGAGCTAATGTCCAATATACACTCATATAACTTCTTTCGGTGTCTGAAGGTGAATATTTGTAGATTTCCGTACCGCTCCTCCTTATCGCGCGCTTTACCGCTCTCTGTTCGAACCATGAAACGATTGTTCTACTTTCGCTAAATACTACTTAGAATCACTCCCTAACGTTAATAACTGAATAAACTTGCCTCAAGTTTTCTTTCTAAACAATGGCAGTCGCAAAAAAAAATAAAAAAATATGAGCATCGTTTTTTCCCTCAACTCGAGGCGAGAACGAGCGGCCACGTGGCCTGGTGCCTATCCTATTCCGCCAACATTAATCACAGCCACGCGCTGAGGTTGGTGAGGTGGAAAGCGCGTGATGGAGCTCCAGGCATTGTTAGAGTTCGGCTATATTCTCATCACCGGAGTGGTTGGACACGAGCCAATACCCGAGTGTCTGTCGAGGCATTGATTGTTACGAGCCGCGCTCGACCGTCGTCAGGCGGGTGGTTTTGATCCCAGAATTAGGTCATCGAGCTTTGCGAAGGCGAGGCTAAAAGAAATAGTCCCCTTTTTTATCCCCGCCATTTCACCGCGACGAAGAAGCTTCTGGATCAGTGGCGGTCGGTGCGAGTATATACTTGGGCCAGAATATAGGAGCAGTATATCCCTCTGAAAATTCATGAACATTCCAACCCGATATCGTTTCATGGCCCCTTTAAGCCATGCACGTTCCGTGACGTTTTCAGCGCAGCCTATACCCGAATGCTTCCGCGTGGAAGGCTTGGGATAGGATGCCTCGATGTTGGTGTAAATTAAAACACCCCCCTGCCCCCCCGCCCCCCCCCCAAAAAAAAAAAAAAAGAAGCTCAGGATCACGCTGCATTTATTGCGCGTGATTAGCTTAGACTGACGGCAAACTCGCTCAGAGGACGAGCGCCGTGACGATATACTTTTGGGCCCTGCTTGACTCGCAGCTCTTTCCGGAATAGCACATTGAAGTTAACTTAAAACCGTCTCTCACTCTCGCTCACTCTCCGTACGTGTGCGCGCGTGCACATGTGCACATGGTTTACGTGTTTGTGCTTCTGCGAGATGTCACAGAGCGTAATACAGAAAGTGAAAACCAATAACAAATTTTTAAAAGGCGACAGTCAAGCAGAGGCATAGCGAAAGTAGTGGTATACGAGAAGAACAAAGCCTGGACGGCACTCAAAAGATAGGCCGAAGTATTTTCGCGGAGATAAAAGAGTGCAACGATGACTGCCTCTTTGTAAGACTCGAACGAGCGCTTGTCCCCACGTGTGGATCAGATGGCTGGCGACAGCCGTCAAGAGCGCCTTCTATCATTCGGTAACGTTATCTGCATGCGAGTGAAAACCTCTGTAAACAACCCTGAAAAACAGAGTTAAATATACCCTTTTACTTCAAGGCGTCTTTGCAACTGACGAATCTAGGTATGTTTCTCGTTTTCTGATACTGGGCCGTCCAGACACGAAAAACAACAAGACCTTGTTTGATAACTCTTCTAAAACCGGTTCCTTTCGGTACTCATTTTTTCCTGCTGGGACTAACTTGAATATATAATTTTTAACAGCACCGTTATTTCGTCATTTCTAACTCAGTTAGATGTTGCACAAATTCGTATTATTTAGGATGATTTGATTTCCCTGTATATTTTTTTTTCTTCTTACATTACGTAGTGATATCTGATCTGGTTGGCTCGATTTCTCTGTATTCTATTACGTGTGTGTATTACCTTTAACGTTGACTTTTTTATCTTTTTTTTTCATCCTTGTTGTTTAAGATATTACTCACTGGCATGCCGCGTGGCTGTGTAATCTGACAGCAAAGTGTGGGTTAGTATCCATGGGCTTGTGTGCTTATTCCCGTATATAGAGCTATAAGTGCATCAGTCCTTGGGGATCTATTTTCATAAGCGCAATAAACAAATAAACAACAAAATTGGCCGCGGCCTTTACCTCCAAAGTTCTATAATTGGTGTGTCTCCCGACGCATATTTCCCGCGAAATTTAGCGGGGAAACTGAATGGTTGTTTGGTCACGTGACGTCAGGTCACATGACGTGGATATCGCCCGATAAATGTAGAGGGGAAACTGGATTGGGTGTCCGGGTCACAATACGTGAAGTTTTGCGCTAAACTTAGCGGGTAACTGCATTGATATATAGATCACGTGGCGTCAGTTTCCCGCTAAATTTAGCGGGGAAACTGAGTTGACGTATAGGTCACGTGCCTTCAATTTCCCCAAGGTGCATGGGTCACGTTACGTCACGTGATGCCACTTTTCCCGCTAAATTTATCGGAAAATTCAGGGGCGGACGGACGGACACAATTTTGGGATTAGAGGGTAGTGTTAAAAGGCGTTTCAGGCTTTCGTAGAAATAAATAAATTGATTAACCTATGATGTATACGTTCTCGTAATTAACATTGCACATGACAACACAACAAAAAACAAAAGGAAATCAAGGGAGGGATGTATGAGACATGTATGTCTTGATAGGCTCTTCTAAGGAAAAAGGATCATCAGGAAATGCAATGTGTTTCTGAGCGAAATTCCACCGGAAAATGAAAGCGCATTCAAAAACGAATGACGCTGGATGTAGAGCAACCAACGAGGTCACGTTTTGAGTAGTGTGAAAAGTTCAATAAGGCAAATATCGCTGGTGGTGTTTTGATTTCGCCTTATTCAAGTTTTCTTGCATGCCACATATACGATGCCAGCACAGTGTTGAGTGGTGGGCTTCCCCTTTAACTTATCAATCCTTCGTAAGTAAACACACGAAATCACAACGCTGATTTCACACTCGGGAGGAGTACAGGCGGCGAACCACGTCTGCTTCCGAGATAATGCGTGGACGTTCCTGTTCTCGCGCTCTAAGACATATCTTCGTTTCGCCTTAAGTCGAGACGTAGCCGACGCTACGAGCTGGTGGGAACAATCGGGCAGCGTAAAAAAAAACACAAGTATGGTGTTCGTTATGTTCTTGTACGGGTTCTATCGTCGCTGAGCCAATCATAGACGGAAAAGACCCAGTGACTTGCGCTTTTGATAGAAACCAGGGTTTTGTTTCGAACTCTGCAGCTCGGGTACATTGATGGGGATGAATCCTCTAAAAACAGGGGGGTGACAAGTCACACTTCTTTTCTCCCATCAATGAATGTCCATGCATCCCCCCCCCCCCCCCCCACTTTTTTTTAAAGCGATTTTTATAGGGATTAGCTTTCTTAGGATCTTCAGGTCCCTTTGAAGTATTTTTCTTGTCTTTTATTTTCCTCGTTAAATGTAGCGGAAAAAATGACGTCACATGACTGCATGTCACGTGACCTTACACAAATTCGGTTCTCCCGCTGGATTTAGCGGGAAAATTGACGTCACGTGACCTCAAAACCAATTCATTTTCCCCACTAAATTTAGAGGTGAAAATTACATCACATGATTCCCTATCACGTGACTTAAACACAAATTCGGTTTTCCCGCTGGATTTAGCGGAAACATTCAAGCCACGTGACCTCACCAATTCAGTTTCCCTGATAAATTGAGCAGAAGAATAATGGCGCGACTCTATGTCACGTTACCTGTACACAAATTCAGTTTCCCCGCTGCATTTAGCGGAAAAAAAGGACGTCGCAAGACTTGATGTCACGTGACCTTATTGTCCAACGTTTGGTACGTCCCGGGATGGAGCAAGGAAGTCAGAGATTTGGCACGCACGTGCCTGCAATGCCAACGCGCAAAAGTGCATTCGCCATTCATTCACCCCCTTCTCTTGATCCGTAACACTCCCCACCCGTTTTTTAAACGAATTGTTCTTTGTAGAAATGTGAACAGACGCCCCGGCCACAGATGCCCGGCCACAATTGAGTTGATTCTTGTTGATGCATGGAGTGTTATTTCGATCCTTCTGTCTGGGGACGTCGAGCAAAATCCTGGGCCTCAGGGAATAGAAGAACTAAAATTAAAGTGATGATGAACGTCACGCTTACCTCACAGAATAACCTAAAACGCGAATTGTTAACCTGGCGGCTTCTCATGAAAGCTGGATTTAACAGTGAACGCTGGAATGGGTGAAGTAATGGCAGCTCTACAGGAGCATAAGGGAGAGATTCGAGTTCTGCAGAGGGAAGTAAAACCCTTTAAAAACGATTTCCAGCTCCACCAAAAGCGCCTGGACGACTTAGAAGATATTAGTAGACGCCTCAACCTTGTGATCTTCGGGTTCCCTGAGCCAGACCATGAAAACACCAAAATATCAAGCAGCCAGATAATCGAGGACTTGATAGGACAGAAGCTTGGAGTGGCTGTTAGCTCAGTGGAAAAATTCCACCGAATAGGGGGAGAAAAAAAAAAGACAAACCGCGGCCTGTGATTATACGTTTCTTTGACTATAAAGAAAAACTAAAGGTACTAAAACATTGTAATAAATTGAAAAGAACCAAAATCTCAGTCAACCATGACTTTTGCAAACGTACTCAGGCAAAAAGGAGCAAGTTTTGGTCAAAATCTGGCGAGTTCAAGGCCAGAGGACGTAAAGTAGTGCTAGACTATGATAAACTCCGAGTTGATGACGACCTTTATAAATGGGACGAGCAGAACGACTGTCTAAAGTGCATCCGCTCTCAAAAACGTCGGAACGATGTCGATTGACGTGAATTGAAGCAGTCACGTTTCTAAATGCCCGAAGTTTCGTCAATAAAGTTCACAAGCTCGAAAAATTACACTTACCTACAACCCGCAGATAATAGCAAACACAGGAACATGGTTATCAGCAGATATTTGTGATGACGAATTTACTCCCCCCACTCACAATATAATCAGACGTGATCGTGTCTCTCGATGAGGGGGAGTTGCTTTGATAGTAAAAAAAAAGAAGTCTCATGCGTTATCTTAAACGAAATAACTGACAATGAAAGTGTGTGCCAAATCGACTGTCACGGGTTTTCGGCTCTCGTGGGTGTTCTCGATCGGCCCTTATCTTCTCCTGAGTCATTTCTAGAGGACATTCAATTTCACGTGCAAGAAATATAAACCTCTAATGAAGGCTATACCGGCGGGTGATTTTAATCTCCCGTCAATTAACTGGTCGACTTTACAGCCTGGCACAACTGAGGTAAAAAATTACAACTTAGTACTTGAACAGATGCTCAATTTTAATCTAACTCAGTTTGTTACTGAAGGTACTCGCATTTCCCAAAATAGCAATAACACGAAGGGACCTCATTTCTGTTGGAAACTTTCCAGAGGACATGAAGTCAGCGTTCACGATGGAATTTCTGACCAGAACCTTGTTTTCCTTTCGACTAATGTTTGCCCAGTAAAAAAGAGTCACGATAGTAAACGTGTCTTTAACTTTGTTGCTGCAGATGATAAAGCTATTATCGATACTCTTGATTTGAAGGCTTCAGCGACTCTGAGATGGAGGGTGACATTTAAACATTATGGAGTAGTTTCAAACATATTACTGCAAAGTGTCTTCCCAAATATCTACCAAAAATAGTAAAAAAGAAACATCAGAACGCCTGGATAACAAGAGATATAATACATCTTAAAATAACATTATCTAGGAAACGGAGAGGAAATTCTAAAAATTCTGATATCATATTTTCTCTCACAGTGACGCTGAAACAAAAAATAAAGACAGCGCGCGATTACTATTATTTTTTTTTAAACAACGTTAGTAAACTTTATGAAAGAAGCACGCCAAACATTTTGGGGGTGCTTGTCGGGCAACAGGAAATCTATTGAACAACTCCATGTTGATAGAAATGAAATTACTGACTCCTACCAAATTGCTAATGAGTTTAACAGTACCTTTCACGATGTTTTAGTCCGCCATGCACTTCTAAAGAAACTATTGAATCAGTCCCTTTTTTCCCAATATTGAAAGATATAAACTTGAACATCAACGGCATGTGTCATCTACTTTTAAACCATAATGTAAAACACTCGTGTGGTCCTGATGGCATCCCGAATGCTTTTCTGAAACGTCACTCAGAAATAATTTTACAATATTTAAATGTCATGTTCAGGACCTCTTTAGATCAGAGATGTCTTCCACCCGACTGGATTTGTGGAAAAGCTTTACCTGTACATAAGTATGGGAGAAAACTGCTTGCTGAAAATTACAGACCAATATCAATAATTATCACTTGCTGTAAGTTGCTAGAACATGTCATCGCCAGTCACATAAGTTTTTTCTAGATACCCATAACATATTAGTCAACTTTCAACATGGATTTAGAAAAATAACTGTCTACAACTACTTAGTTACTTTCAGCAGTGCACGATTTCGGACATGCGATTAATAACAAAGAACAAATTGATGCAATAATTTTTGAACTTGTCCAAGGCCTTCGACAGAATCCCGCATCACCCTACTACTAATAAAACTGCAGCGGGTTGGAACTGCTCCTCGCTTTGTGACAAAGACTGCTGCTTATATGAAAAATAGAGTGCAATTTGTTGAAATCAACGGATGCCAATTAGTACATCTTGACGTGCTGTCTGGCGTACCACAAGGGTCGGTCTTAGACCACTATTTTCTTTAATTTATGTCAACGACATAGCCGACAATGTTGACACAAGTGTGGCTGTGAAAACGTTTGCTGATGATTGCGCTGTTTGTAGAACTGTCAGAAACAAGTTGGATAAAGTATCGCTTAACGAAACTTTTGCAGAACTGCCGAATGGACTCTAAGGCATTCGCTCTCACAGTAACACACAAAAAATCCCCTCTTAGCTTTGCCTACCACATAAGAGACAAATGCATCCAAACTGTAAATGAGGTAAAGTATCTGGGCATAAATAGTAATTCAAAATTTAATTGGGAAACTCATATAGATAATATAACTGCAAAGGCTTAAAAAAAAAGTTGTGTTACCTAAACTAAAGCTGGGGCTATGTGACTCGTCGGTAAAACTTTCGGCGTATAAAAGTTTAATTCGGCCAGTGCGCGAATATGCGTTCATTTTGTGGAACCCGTACTTAATAAAATATATTGAAAAAGTTGAGAGAATTTAGAGCCTCAGCACGATTTTATTCTTCCGACTTTAGGCGCCTGTCATCAGTGTCGGACATGATACGTAAATCCGGACTTGAGTCGCTCGAGTCTAGGCGAAAAATTGCTAGGCTGCTTTTTTTTAATAAAAGTTACAATAATGAGTCCGGACTAGACAAAACCTTATATCTTTTGCCAACTCCCCAGCGCTCTGCAAGGTTGAATCACACAAAACATGTCAGACCATATGCTCTTAAAAATAACACGTTTAAATACTCCTTTTTTGTGCGTACGATTATTGATTGTAGTTTCCTGGCCCCCAATAGTGTGCATGCCCCAAATTTTGACTGTTTTGACTGTTCTGTCTGAAACTTTACAGGGTGTTTCGCGAAGGGTGGATAAATTCAATATTGCGAAAACAACGCATCGCACAAAAAGGCTTGTGTCGTCTTGGTCCTAGGCCAGAGGCCTTTTTAGGAAAATTATTAAAGTTCAGGATAATTGAATTGTTAATTACTTTCGTGTAAACAATTTCTTTTTTTATATATATATATATATATTGAATTTAAGGGCATGGTTTCAATTACAATCGGAAGCTAAGGCTCTTGGAGCGCAGGGTGAAACCAAATAATATACACCTTTTCCACAAGGGTGCAGCCACCTTAAATGTCGTCACTTTTGGTATGCGTTGAAACATCTTTTTGATCTCTCCACGCCGCTGGAAGCTGCTCACAAAAAAATTCGTGATTGTGACGTGTTCTTGCTTTCCCTCACCTATTATTTCTCGCGTATTCCAGGTTGAAATATCTTATTCATTTTTCTTCCCCCACACAATATACGGAACCCACGTGACTGAAAACGAAATGAACGATAAACGTCTATAGACGTTTTCAGGCAGCTGCGGATGGGCGCCGCAAAAACCGACCTTCAGTTTTTGTTTCCCCTTATTCCGTTCGTTTCACTTCATCATTGCCACAGCACGACAGGTTATTGTAACTTTGGGTGCTGCTGTGCCGTTCTTCTCAGCATTTGGTATCTCGGTAAGTCAAGAGGCCGGCAATGTCGGCTCAATCTGGCGCGTGTTTGAGGCGTTTATAGGCGGCGGTTCGAGTACCCGGTCACTAGATTTTAGAAGGCAGACACGTCCACATATTATAATGAATTGTAATTACATATTTGCAAAAGCAGGAGACTGTCAGTGGTCACGCTCAGCGCACCTGATCGTTGCCGTGTTCTATGGTGCACTTGCTGCCGGTCTTCTATTCGCGTGGCACGAGAGAACGCTGCTCTCAGTGGCTCATGACATGCTTCTCATGACTCTACAATCTCAGCACCAATTCAGTTTCCCCGCTAAATTTAGCGGGAGAAAAATTACGCCACATGGCTTGGTGTTCTTTAGCGTACACACAAATTCTGTTTGCCCGCTAACTCTAGCGGGAAAATTTACACGCGACAGGCCGTGGCTCTTTCAATTAAGTGTGCCATTGCATCTGTTCCATTTGTTTTCTTACGAAACTTACAAATAATAAAGAAGCCAACTCGCTGTTTACAAACAACCAACCAGCTTAGCTTTAAGCCGTCACAAATCTGCGCGTTAGCAGAAACCAGATTACAGTAAGGTGAAGCGTCCGCACATGCGCCGTACCGACAGCAGTTCCGCCGCCGCGAAGTGACGTCAGAAACAGATCGCATGATGAGAGACGAAGTACCTCCAAAATAAGAGCCCCTGGTGCAAGTTCCTACGACCACCCGGCCCTCGACTTGTGCCACCGTCCCGGAGCGAACGAAGAACACTTTAGTACCCGTGCCCCCTTGGCGGACGATGACGTCCTTGGGCTGGTAAAACTCTGCCTTCAGCTTGGCCGCGATGTCGTTGGTAAAGTCCGGATCGGCACTGGCGAAGAACGGAACGCCCGCCAAGATGTCGCGGCAGGTGTGACTCAACACTTCCTGTCACACAGGGAAAACATGGAGCAACGCATTTGAGCGTGAAGTACACAACTGTACTTACACCACATTTATTTACATACACAGATGTTAGCGAGTATAAGGTTTCTGGGCGCCGACATCTTTTGGCCTCTGTAAATCGTCTGAGAGGGGTCGCCCTTTTCCGAGGCGCAGTGGAGAATGGGGGGTGTATCACTGGGGCGCGTGTAAACCAACTTCACTAGATTACCTCGTTGTGGAACTGCTGCAAAAGGGGGGGGGGGGGGGGAGTAACTCTCCCCCCCCCCCCCTCACTCAACTTAGTACGCCCCCCGTCTTTTGAAGCGCTATCTAGATTTTCGTTTACAAACTGTGTTTTCCATAGAGCAAAGTGGAACGCCATCTAGACGATGTGCATAGAAACGTTTGCATTCCCTAGAATGCACTGCAGTTACCATAGCAGCCGTCCGGGGCGTCAACCGACAGGAGGCGAGCCGTGGGGGCAGAGGGAGGTACTGCTCGTGCAAGCAGCATCTATGAGCAGATCCGTAGCTGAGCTAATCTAATAACGTTGATGCTAACCCCCTTCCTCCTTCCCCCCCCCCCCCCCCCTCCTTTTTACCCTCTTCGCTGTGAAAGTCTGCGGATGGCACACTAATGGCGAATTCCACTGGTCGTTTTGGAGCGCGCCGGGATCGACTTTTCCGGAGCGAGCCTATTTCACTGGGCGATCGGGATCGAGACAGACGTGTTTCACTGGTCGTATTGGATTAGCTCCCGCTCCAGATCTCGATCTTGATCCGAGAAAAGTTGCTCTCACGATTTCGGCGGATTCAACCGGAAGCCTCCTCCTTTTCCCCCGGCGAGGGAGTCACCGATTTTCGTCTGGCCAAACATAGTAGGCGTTACCCTAGCACCCGGCCCACTGGGAGACAGAAATAAGGTTGGGCTAGTTGGTTGGTCCTGTTGAAAAGGTATGCAAAAGGTATTGATACAGCGCAGACAGGGTTGAGACTATGGGCCGGAGCCACGCGGGAGGGAGTCCGAATTTTTCTCTGTCCCGCCTGTCCCCAGCTGTGTTAGTTAGTTGTACGTTATTCAATTCCCCCTAGATAATTTCTACCAGCCGTCTAATCTCCTTCGTTATCATCCCTTCTCCCATTCTCCTTTTCAAACCAACCCCAGCGCTCCGGCTAAATCCGTCGCCCCCTTGGGGAGGGCAGGAGCAAGCCCTGTGCATCTCAACACAACGTGCCCCAGTGTTCCGTCCTCCCCTTGGCACACGGCACAGCGTGTATTGATTTTCTCATACATTGTCCTCTCCTATAGTGCTCAATACTCCTGTTCTATCCTCAAATAACAACGAGCTCCCGCGTGAATTATCATACCAATGTTCCTTTCTTATTTCCTGTTCCCGTCCCCTGTGCATAGTTAAAACTGATTTTCCCAGCATTCTTTCCTCCGACATTTTTCTCTCGGCTTCTTTTACTTCCTTTTTTACTGAGGTGGTCTACCCTGCCCCAGCACTTGATCGTTAAAATTTGAATTTCAGTTTTCGGGTTCGGTTTGTCCATTTAGTGCTCAGACTTTTCATATATAGATGCTTATATACCTTCCTCGCCCATCGTGTTCCTTCCATAGTGTCCAGCCTTTGTTCGAATTATAACATGCTGATCGCCTCTCTAACCTAGAACGATGCCCAGCCCATGTCGCCCTGCACTCCTTCATTTGGTGCGGTTTACTACGATTGGTCGAATGCCATTTCATCGAAGCATGTTTTAGAGAATGGGCACGTTTTATCGCAGCACGGTTTAAAGAAAGCGGAGCCTCAGTTTAGAGAAACGCCGTTTATCAAAAAGGGGACGCTTTAAAAAAAATATACTTTCCTACTTCTCACGTGCATCACTGGTGCGCGTGTTAACCCAGGCCCCCCGCTGCGCTCCCGCATAGCGTGGCGGTGCACTGATACACCTCGAGGGGTTTTTAAGCGAGAGGAGGATGCTCATTGTCGGTGTACAAGTACGCTGGCTGGGTAACGGAGGGTGGATCTTTCAGGAAAAAGGTGCATGTGCGCCTGATGCACCTGACTACACCCTTTTTTTCTTAGTCTGCGGCGGCTTATTACAAAAATGTTAACTCACATGATTTACCCGTACACGCGGCTTCGCGGCGGCCAAATTCGCTAAAAGGAGGCTCATTGCCATTTCCTCTAAACTGGGTTCTCTATAAAGGGATTCGATAAACTGGGGTCGGTAAAACGGCGTTCGCTAAAACGAGCTTCTCTAAACATGCAGCATGCCTCCGCATTTGTTGTATCTTCGTGCGCCCTCAGTGTCAGTCTGTCCACGCCCCTCTGCCGGATCCCTAAATTCGACCTTAGATTTTATGCATAATACCGCATTTTCAAAAGACAACCTTGGCAACATCATTCCTTTCCATATTCCTCTAACCTCATATACCAAATATTTTTTATTCAAAACAGATTTTTTTTAATCGTCTTTACTGTTACGTCAGTGCCATTTTCGCTATATGTTTCTTGAGCTCGGCAGATGCTCCAGGGGCGAACTGCCGTCACAGTTTGGTGAGTAATTAACTAAGCTCGTTAATGAACTTTTTTTTTTAATTAGTGCAAATAAACGTGGGGTTTCAATTAGAGACTTTCTGAGCGTTATCGAAAATCACTAAAGAAACTTTTTTTACAACGACTCGAACCTCGTGGGAAACTCGGGGCGCGCTAAAGTTACCACTCGTGAAGCAGGCACATAGTCAGCAGTGGCGGTGCGCGCTTGATTAGATCGTTATCGCGTTCCGCCACTGCCAGTTTGCGCCTGCTTCACGAGTGGTAACTTTGGCGCACCCCCAAATTTCCCACGAGCTTCAAGTCCTAAAAAGAGTTGATTCTGTGGTTTTCGATGACGCTCAGTATCCAATTAGAATCATGTGTCCATTTTCACTAATAAAAAGTTATTTAACAAATTTTAGTTAATTACTCACAAGACAGTGACGGTTCTTCGCCCCTTGCATGTTCGCCGAGCTCGAAAAACATATAGTGAAGACGGCTTTAGCGTAGCAGTAAATACGCCTTTTTTTAAATCTGTTTCGAATAAAAATGTCACCCGGTATATGTTGTAATTCCATAGTGCCCTATGCTTCATAACAATGCCTTTCCCAACCACGGTGGCCCGGCTAGCTTTTGAGCATGACTGTTTACAAACGTGTTTTTGCTCAAATGCGTTAGCGTGTAGGACGGTGACTTGGGCCCGTTGGTAACAGTTAAACATGATTAAAAACAGCATTAGATAAACTGGGACGAAGAGCAGGTAAAGAATACGACAATACAACGGCTGACTCGCAACTGAAGTTTATTAAAAGGAAAGTGAACCAAAGAAACATGTTAGACAGATTACACACATACAGATTAAAAACACACGTCCACCAGGCGACCAGCTGTGCAGATACATCGCCTCAAAACTCCACACTCATGTTCGATTGCAGATACAGTACCTCCCTCTCAGATAGCGCCACCGATGGCTCACTGACACATCTGTCTGCCATCGAAGAGATAATGAACGCTTGGGTAATGGACCTTTTCCGAGAAGCGTTCTGCGCACGCGCGAGCGCCCGATGCCAAGCGGCGGAAGTCGGAATGAAAAATCGAGGAAATTCGGAAGGAGGCTGTATATCAGCGAGTAGAACACGTAACTGCAGCATATATATAATTGTGTTACACAAAAAAAAGAACGTCGACGGAAAGGAAAACACGACGTTTGGGTGGACGCTACGGATGCCCCTCTGTAAAGTCGCGTTGGGCAGGAGCCGCTGCTCAGAGAGCGAAGAAACTGGTAGCGTAGCTCCCATTATCGATTGGTAGCGCAGGTAGGACACTTCCTCGATTTTTAGTTCGTGCAGCCACCGCCTGGTGCCGTCGATATGTGCAAAAAGTCCATTGTCTCTCGAGTCATTTTTTCCCTGTGTCTGCCCACAACAGTTACGTCACCAAAAGAGGGGAGACAAGAGCAATCTCTGCAATATAGCGGTAGAAGTTTCCCTACCGTTAAGGGAGTACGCGTGCGCGTTGCCCTGTCGTATTCTCTACCCGTTCTTCGACCCTGTTTATCTGAAGCTGTTTTTCATCATGTTTAAGCGTTAGAGAGTAATGAAAAGAATAATTCACTGTAATGACTGAGTGGACAAATTTGAACGTACGGACGCTCAAATTAGAGCCTGCATTACACTGCCCGTCCGGTGCAACGTATCCCTTAAAAATCAGCTTCGCTGACACGACCACCATGCATGGTGTCAAAAAAAGCACTATCCTCTCGTGCGACCGCAATAATCAAAATTAAAAATTAAAATATTGTTTTTTTAATTTGTGTTTTGTTTTTGTGCACATCTAACGTACACGAACGAAGCAGCATAATATTGTAGAAAACAACTGGCGAAAATCTGCCAGGCCAGTCCGCTCAGTCGAACATCTTAGAGCTGGCAGTCTTCATTTTCCGGCGACAGAGTTTACATCAGTGAAACAAAGAGCAAATCTTGATGCTGCTGGTTCTTTTTCCGTGAGGCACCGCGAACTCCCGATGACTTCGCTGTTGTTGAGGTCGAGTTGGTTGGTGATGGGGTGTAGATAGTAGGTTTACGTAGAGGAAAAAGAAACGCACAGCAAGTTTTGCGAATAAAAAAGGGAACTTTCTGATCTCGCGGACCCTCCTCGAGGCTACTCAAGGCGAGGCGTGCCCACCTTGCACCAGGCAAGAACACTGCCGCTAGGGCAACATAATTCTTTAAGAGTCCAGCCATTCGCGCAGCTCTCTCGTCAGAAAACAGGACGCTGAGAGAACCACACTTGATGCTGACATCAATTTTCTCTAACGTTATATTCGGTAAATCTGACATTACCTCGTCTTTGCTCTTCTCATTCATGGATTCTGACCGCAGGTCTCATGTTCTGCTTTCCTGCCACACGAATGTGCAGTACCGGGCAATAGTACATGTCGCTAACACAAAGAAGACAATCCCGCTTGTATGGCGCTTTTACGGCGTGCACGCTCGGAAAGGGAACCTGATGCGCTTGAATCCAGCCGCTGGTGGCGTTCCCCATAGCTTGACACAGGCATTCCTTAACTCTGAACGAAAACAGACAAAAAGTGGTCGTGCCGAACCATAGACAAAGGTAATATAAAAAGTGTTCGACCCTCGCCCAGACGTGTTATCCATAGAGGCTCAGATAATCTAAGGAAACACTTTTCATCACAAACCCCCTCCTTTTGTGTCCCGACTAATTCTGCGGAACACACTCGAGATAAGTTAAGTACAAAACGAGCGTGTCTTCGTTGTCCGTCCCCCCTTTTTATGTATCTTCCTCATGTTTAATAACACTTGAGATAGCTCGCCTTGGTTCGCAGTAAACCGGGGTGGAGAATAAAATCAATATGACCGTGATTTAAATCACACCGGTTTTACTATAATTATTTAATTCAAACCTTCCCCACAGAAATATTTGTATTCACTCTTTGTTTATCGTTTATCTCTCAAAGTGAACAGAAAATATTAACGGATGCTTTTTCCACACTGTCTCGATTTGCTAAAGTATGACAGCAATCGAGCTATTTCTTTGTTATAGTACGGCGTGGTTTACATCAAGAATAGAAAGTTCTTAAGGAAACTGTACTTTACGATGTAATTAACTTTACAGTCAATTTCTACTTCTTTCGGTCATTGGGTGAATCGAAGAATTAATCAAGCGGCCATGCCTGAAAAATGTAATAATAAAAAAAAAACTCTTATTTGAATCCATCTGGATCAATCTGAGCGAGTTGGACACGTTTACACTTGTGGATTCGTGGGCGGATCTGCGCAGGCGGGAAGTGGATTTTGGAGCCTGGCAGCGAAATCAACTAGTCGCTGGTGGGAAATCTGGAATCCAGATTTTCCGCCTGATACAAGTCGATTTCGCCACCCGCCTCCAAAATCCACTTTCCGCCTGCGCAGATCCGCCCACGAATCGACGAGTGTAAACGCGAAAGCATATTAATCTGATTTATATAAAATAACTAATTTATTTTATTTTAGGTAAATTCCGATTTTTATCCACTCTGCTGTAAACTAACTTCCGCAATTAACCTTCTACGCCCATTTACGAGGCGAATATGCAATCACTTGACTAAATTTAAGGAACTCGACACATTGTGCAAAGGCAAAGAAACACGAGAAAGCAGCGTCTCTCTTTACAGCACCAAATAAGTTGTGCCAGTTTGTTAACGCGACACAGATTGTACTATCATTACCGGAATCGACGAAGCAAAAACATTGCAAAAATGCGCACCACCAGATATCCCCGCGACCCGATAACAGTTGGCAGCTTGCCTTGGCTGCCTTAGCTACTCCACAAACGAGCTTAAAAGTAATTCACCATTACAACTGTCGACCGCACTGTGGTAAAAGCTGCCCGATATAGCACTGCTAACTCGACCTAACAGAAATTATTTCAGGGATATAAATAAAAAAAAAAAAAACATGATCTGACCAGATGCTGAATTGTAACTTTATTGTATAAATCTTGACATTGCATCCCACTCCCCTGCTTTCCTCCTTTTATGTAAATCCCTGAAATGGCCGAGTTAATGGTAATAAAAATAATGTAAAATTAAATTGGTCTATAGAAAGCATGGGGCTTCGCCCAGGCTCCAGAACTCCCAGAGGGAAAAAACAATCTGGCGGAAGCACTTGGATGTATTGACGAGAATGGAATCACGGAGGATAAAACACTATATATAGTCTCGAAAGGGATGTCAGAATATGGGTGGAAAATGCTTAGAGAATAGTAATTTACATAAAAAATATATGGTTATCAGGCACTTGAATCGGAGACGGAGTTTAAGGCAAAATGTATTACTTGTTTCTAGACTAGGTGGCAGCAGCTGCCGCCCAATACGAAGGGTATAACCACTATCATTCATATATTCATTCCGAATATATTAAGAGCTTGTACTTCTCCGCTACGCGTTCTTTTATCTCGTCACTGGGTCCGAACGACGTCAGATTTGTTTCAAGCTTTAACTTTTACTTTCAGCTGCAAGAACACGTTTCCAGAAATAACAGAGAAGAAACAGGCAAGCTCGCGGACTTTCAACGTGGAAACCGAAGACCGGCATTCCCAGCCAACGCTGCTCCCCGCTCGCCACTCTCACCGTTCGTGCTGAGTATTGCTTGCTAGGGTTGCCCTCGCGGTTCTTGGCGTTATCCCGTTACCCTCTCTCGTTCGCTCTCAGAAGAGAAAGGGGCGCCAGAAAACCTGTTTGCAGCTTTCGGAGCGGTGAGAAACAAGTGCGCTGCTTTTTCACGTTCCGTTGTTTATCTCGCGTTACCCGCGTTTCGCCGCGTGCTGAAGTGAATTCCTTAAAATATTTCTAATCTATATCAGTGAAGCCGATAACAATGGAGGACATAGATACGCGACGCTATCGCAGGAATCGCCCGCACGATGGAGCGCAGTCCAGTACAGATTGCTGACCCGCGTCAAGTTGGCAGACCGACTGGGAGAGCCGTCAGGAATCAGCTGCCGCCCCAAATGCAGAACGTGGGTTTCGACCTCAACTTCGCGCGGCGCTTCTGGGCGCTGTGCAGAATCGTGCTAAGGAAACGAAACGCCGTCTTGCTGCTCCTCGGACTTCTGGTGTTGGCAATATGCTACGAGTTCGTCGCCTACCAAGTGGGCCTCATCTCAAGCAAGTACTACGTGGTGCTCGGAGAGAAAGACCTGCACGGTTTCTGGATGCAGACGTTGATGGCAGTGGGGCTCATCTTTGCCATATCAAAGATGAGGGCGTTGAGAACCTTCGTGGCCAACACTGCCGGCGTCCAATGGAGGCGGATTCTCACGGAAGATCTGCAAGGGTTGTACTTTTCAGCTAAGAACCATTACACCCTCAACGTTCTGGAGACGACCCTGGACAATCCGGACCAGAGAATGAGTCAGGACGTCGATCGTTTCTGTCGCAAGCTCGCCGAAGCCTTACCCCCGACGTTCGTGGCGCCGTTCACCACCTGCTACTATATCTACAAAGCGTACCAAGTGTCCGGGTGGATGGGACCGGTGTCGACATTTCTATTCTTCGTGGTTTTCACCGTTCTGAACAAGTTCCTCATGTCCCCCGTGGTGCCCCGTGTGTACGAGCAAGAGAAGCAAGAGGGCCACTTCAGGTTCGAGCATTCCAGGATTCGGGCCCATTCTGAATCCATCGCCTTCCTGGACGGCGAACCGGTCGAGCTTGACAACACCAACGGGATTCTACAGAAAGTGGTCAAGGCTCAGCAGTCCGTGGTGAACCGGCAGCTTCCAGTCACGTTCGGTGTTCACATGTTTGACTACCTCGGGAGCATTCTGAGTCTTCTAGTGATCGCTGTGCCCATCTTCAACGGAACGTACGACGGCGAACCCGCGGCGAAACTTGCCGGAATCATCAGCGCGAACGCTTTCGTGACCATCTATTTAATCAGTTGCTACAGCAGTCTGGTAGACTTGTCCGGGAGTGTCACCGTCATCGCTGGTAACACGCACAGGATAGCGGCGCTCCGAGAACGGTTACAAACCCTCATCGAGAATAACGCGAAGGTACCCGAAATAAAGGCAAGGGACGGCAGCGCGGGAGACGACGACGATGTCAGTGACGAAAAACCATCTATTGAACTCATGGACGTCACCTACAAGTCACCCCGTGACGGCAGCGTGCTCGTGGACAAGTTGACCATTATGCTGGACTGCAAGCGCAACGTTCTCGTAACTGGAGCGAGCGGTACGGGTAAGACTACTTTATTAAGGGTCATCAAGAGGCTCCGGGACATCGAGGGCGGACACATCCGGTGCAAGAACAGCGCTCTGATCGCGTTCATGCCTCAGATCCCCTGGCTGACTAGCGGAAGCTTACGGAAACAGATACGGTATCCGTCCAAAGACGCCTGCGACCATCTGACCGACGAAGACGCTGAGATGCAACATCTGCTCCAAGTAACCGGCCTGAAGCACCTTTTGGAGAGCGCGTACAGCCTTGATGAAGAACTGGATGCGGCCTGGTACTCGGCGCTCTCTCCCGGTGAGAAACAGAGGTTATCCTGGGCAAGGCTGCTATACCATCGTCCTCGACTCGCCTTCTTGGACGAGGCCACGTCTGCCCTGGATTCCGAGGCTACGGCCAGGCTGCACAAGGAGTGCGCCGAGAGGGGTATTGTGACAGTAGCTGTTGGTTACGAACGAGCAGTCGAAGGGTGGGAGCCCGGACTCGTGCTAGAACTTAAGGGAGAGAACGGCTACTGGAATGTGGTCCAGAAAGAAGGTGCAGCATGATTGGAAATAATGCTGCTCTAAGTTGTGCGACAAAGTGAAAAAGAAGCGAATAGATTTTCTGTGATTAACTATAGCAACAGATATTTTGCGACTAAATTTAGTTTATTTACGGTGCTTTGTTTTTGTTGTTTTTTTACTACAAGAATTTTTATTTTAGAGAAAACACAAAGAACACTTTACGATTTCTAAAGGCTGACAAAATACAGAAAGAGTACAAAACACTTTTTTATGTCAGGGCAAATGGCATATGATAACGCTTTTCTTAAACTAGACGTGACAAAAGAAACTTGAAATAAAGACGTGTTTTTTCTGAGATACCTTGATCGACTGTGGCGGACCTTGGGGAGCACGAGTATGACATGACGATTGGTTAAATAAACATCTTAAATTCACTAACTGATATTTTGTATACTTTGTCAAAGCCGGCACCTTCCCATTGTAGATGTGTAGCCTATCGTCAAAGGCAATTCCACAACAATCATGCTTTAAAAAGAAAATTCCGCTCTGCAATGTCTTTTTTTTAATATATATTTGCAGCACAAACATGGCCCGACATAATAAAATTCAGCACATCTTTGAGTGCGTATATAGTTATGATGCAACTTTCCACCTAAAATATTTTGTGAAAAAAAACTTGTATGACTATATATTTTATATACTATTGATATTCCTGTGTCGTCTAAAGCTGGTCATCTGCTCACATTTTGTCTTCGTAACCTCACCGTTCTACACCATAAAAACTGCTTCCTATTTTTTTCTTATTTTGCTTTGGTGGGTAGCCTTGAAGAGGTATTTATGACCCGAATAAATCATCGTTAAGTGTTTTTTTTTAATTTTGTATTTTTGGTATTTCTATTTGCTTTCAGTATCGATATCGACTGACAAAGTTAAATTTTAGTCGACTGGACAGAACGCTGTGCAGCTGAATGTAGATATTCCAGAAAAAAAAATTGTTTTTCATGTTTAGAAAAATGCAATGCACAGATGAAACACCTTAGAAACAAACGCGCTGCTCTTGCTCTGCAAACAAAACATGGTGGCCGGATGCCGTGGCGTAGCTGGCAAGTTTTCTCGGCCCGGGAGGGGGGGGGGGGGGGGGGGGGGGGAGGGAGGGGGGGAAGGGAATGGGGGGTGGAGGGGAGGGAGGGATGTTAAAGTGTATGTGTATATTAGACTTTCGAGTGCTTATTACCCGGGCGAACAATGCTGAGTCACTGAGCTGTGCACCCATGCGCAGCGTCTGATATGCCGCACAACAGAGCAACAGCGCAAGCTCAGAAGGCCTTCCACAGCCCAGCAGGCAAAGATGGCGGGGCACAGAAGGCGGTGATATAGGCCGGGGGAGGGGGGCGTTGAAGCCTTATAAGCCTCCCCCCCCCCCCCCCCCCCCCCTTGGCTACGTTACTGGCCAGGTGTTGCTTCGTGTTTCACATACCTCCTTGAGGGGACCGGACAACGACGACAAGATGGCAGCCTCTCGATAGCTTTTCTTCTGGAATTCGCAGCTGTAATAAGACCGTATGCGCTCTCTTAACTCCTTCGGAATGCCGTAGTAACTCATGTACTCTTCTACCTCAAGCACCTGCGAATCAGACAAACAGAAAGGATCGCGCTATTATAACGACTACATGTGTACAATCTCCTTCAGTATTGCAAAGTTAACTGGAGTCCCCTAATATAACTTAGTCATCCCCGAATTTCGCTAAACATTAGTTTAATCGATAGAAACTAAAATTATTCAGTTGTGATCATGATTATTCGTTAGTGCCAAATCGCGACTTTGGGTGTTCAAAAATATTAGAATTTGTTTTAGACTACACGAGAGAAAAGTTCAAGAAACGTCATTTAAATTTATTTTTTGAAACATGACATATAAATTTGCTCTAGATATGCAAATTTCTCGGTACCCTCTAGAAAGGCTCAGCTCTAGACACGGGACAGGTTCCCGCGAATCTTTTCACAGGCCATCTTCCCTGACAAGCACGCATTTTCTAGAATTATTTTTTCAACAAGAATGTGGGTTGTTCGGTGCGCCATCTTCTTACAGAAACACTTAGGAAAAAGTACCTCGACGCCAAGAGCAGCAGACGCTTCATCTCGCGCGAATCGGGTTTCTGCGCACGAGCAGCGCCCACACTTGGTGTGGGCAAACGCGGCTTTGTTTGTAAACAGTGACTATTTCTAGAACTGACCCTTTCCCTGCGTCGCCTGTTGGCAAGGTCCTTGTAGTCGAGCAGGTTGGAGCCGTAGCCCAGGAGCAGAGCCTGCCAGATGGCCCCGGCGAACATGCCGAGCACCTGGATCCATTCTTCGACGAGCAGCTTCGTGTTCTTGCCCAGGCCGTAACCGGTTGTCATCATTAGCGACACTGTGTTGAACACCGCCCACGAGTACTGCTCGGTCCACGGTTTCTTCTGCAATGGCATCATTGCGCCACAGAAAGGTTCCACGTGGCATCCTGGGAAGCTGAATTTCAGCTCGATCAAAAGTGTGGCGGAAGTTGAGGATACATGGTAGCACGCGAAGACAAAGGACAAATGGAGCAGAACTCACAGTGGTATCCAGTTCTTCTTCTGTTCTTGTCTTCAAGCACTACCATGTATTCTCAAATTCAGCACTAAGTCACCCAACAGTCTGCATTGTGACGGAAGCGTTGTCAAAGAACCAGGCTGCGCACGTATCACTTACGTTCTTACTTGCTTCTTGTTTCGCTTGCGTGTGTGCCCAATTTGACCGTCGCGCGAAGCGGTTTAAGTTAAGGGAGGTTCTCGGGAACCAATAATGAAAAGTTACTAGTTCCCAGGCGGGCTGGTAGTAGTTAATCATGTCCTTTAACACCTGAGACTGTGGTGCAGAAAAGGAAAACTTTTAGTGGAAGGATACACAGAAGGGAACGTCTCAAACTCAGCTAACTGGTTTATTTCTCAAGCACCCTCTATATACCCACAGAGCCACTCTCAAGCACCTACTACGCAGAGATCCGCTTTGTCGAAAGCATTTTCAAGCCCAAAAAACATTCACAAGGGACAAAGAGGTTAAACCCACGATACGATCATTTTCAACTACCTTCTACGCTGAGTTTGAGACATTCCCTTCTGTGCCTGTTCCTTCGACTAAAAGTTTTTCTTTTCTGCACCACACCCTCAGGTGTTAAACGACATGATCGGGGGCTAACCTGCTTGGGCGGTGATCAGCGGAGTTTCTGATTCTTCGATTAAGAGCATCTTTTTTAGTAGCCAACGTAATATCTTAGTAGCCAACTTGGAATCCCCACTTGTTTCACATATTGTATGTGAAACTCCAGGTGGGACTCTCCTGGTGATCTTGGTGTTCACGTCCGTCTTACAATCAATCTTCAAACACTTGTATTTTTATTCCTTAAAAGTAACCAGCTGAGGGTGCAATTCTGCCGTGTCATTTCCCTGTGGCCACACGTTATGCGCAACAGATATAGTACCTGGAGTGCGGCGATAGAGATCCAGGACTCCGGTGGGAACCTCATCATGAGGCCCACAAAGAATTGAAGGCAGGCGTGCCAGTGAATTGCCAGGAAAATCATTCCCAGGATGTTGGCCAGCTGGAGATACGTCCCAGACGAATGAAAGAACTGCGCCGTGAGACAACAGACGTTGTGAAAACTCTCGGAAAGATCGTGCGCTAAGCGCGCGACGAATTGTGAAAACATCTTGATACATCTACCACGTGACGCTGAAGAGATCTAAAGAGAGAGAGAGAGAGCGCTGGGAGGGTTTAGTGGTAGCGCAGCTGCTCGCCTACCCTCGCCCAATCGCGTTTCCTCCATTGCCTGCTACAGCCGGTTCTTACAGCCAGTTCCCAGCACCACTTTCGGCGGTCGCCCTCTTTGCAGCAAGTTCATTCGAGCTCATCTAATTTTCCCTGATCTAGAGCTGGTGAACTGTGACTAATGCAGATGGAAAATGAGACGAAGTATTGAAGCGCCCTCGAAGTCAAGCAGACTAAAGTTGGAAAAACAGGTTCTCAAAAGGAAATGACCAGCCTGCTACGATTTAAGAGAATATGTTTTCCACTCCTCTAATCACGATTACAATGGCACGGATCTTCCTGGTGCTTTTTTACTTGTATTTATTCAGTGGTGTCTACTTGCATACTGCTGATGGGCCCTACCGCCAATAGTCTGTTTTACATATACCATTTCTAACGCATCCCTAGATTCTAAAATAAATAAAACAGTAAATCAAATAGGACAATGGACGGTACTTCGCACGTATAAACATTTCAAATGGTGTACACTTTATTATTCAACTTCAATTTGAAAGACGCATGTCATGTACTATCGCGGACAATATGAGCTTAAACAGTTTTTTTTAGCTTTTTTGGCGTTTCTGCCAGTTCTTGAGAGAATTGTGGTACGAAGGAATGAATTGGGGAGTCGAGGTCCCATACTTAAAAATACTTGACAAATTGAGAAATACTAGGGCTTCTGGAGACCGCAGAAGCAGAAAAAGAGCGGATCGGGTGTTTGAATTCGTACCGTCCGTGATGGTTCTATATTGTCCGCTCTCCGGACTCACATCTGAAAGTATTTGTATAAATTAATATGTGGTGAGGGCATTTTTTCATGTCATCTGCGTCCTGCGCCCGATCACTATAAAAAAAAACTGTGACGTACAACATCAGTGTAATAACAGGTAGTGTTACTGAGCCAGGGGTTCCTTTCGTCGAGACGAAAATGCAGTACTCATTCTGCCTCTCCTTAGCAAAGTTTGCTAACAAATTCTTGGGGTCATATTGTTGACGTATAGTCCTGAGGGTGGCCTTAGGGAGACGATGGTTAAGTGTGGCCAATGGGTTGGACATGAGGACAGATTTCTCTCAATACTCGTGTTCAAAAGCGCCCATTTTGAAGTGCAAATAGAACGCTCCAGGGCACCGAGATTCTGCCTCGGTCTATCCAGACACTTGCTGGGAATCTGTTACGAAGCATTCCTAACGTTGTCACGATAAGATTAGCGACAACCAGAGCTTGCATGAAAACTAGAACAGCACCCAGGAGACAAAAGCAATCAAGGAAGTGGGCGAAACCTGCGCAGACAATGAACGTACGACTGATAAGCAGCCACGTGTCCGACACTTATCCCATTGTCGCATCCGAGCTCAGTCGTCAGTTTCAATAAAAAGTTGCTCACATATACGAATATTATTGGAAGTTGTTTTTTGTTTTTATTGGAGAAGGCGGAACCTCCTGTGCCAGAAACTAAACAAGGTATCTGCAGAAAACAAAAATGACAAGACATGTTTCGTTTTTTAACACATTTTGAAAATTAACTTTAGAAATATAGCTTCGTTTAACGCTTTTGTCGTCTAATAGAGTCATGATTTAGTTGTTTTAATTTTTTAAGAAACTTTTAAGAAACCGATGACGGAAAAACGAACTCCGACTTTACTATTGGATAGAACATCAATGTAGAGGTCTTCACCGGCGTCTTATTTTTTTATTTTGTTTTCGGCACTTCGTTGAGTGTATATGAAAATTAGATTGTTATTTGTTTATAAACGCATTAATCAACGAGCAAACTTTTTTTTTTAAATGCAACACAAGGTCTACATGTTCTAAGACCTGAAGTGGAAAAATTCTGTTTCAGCGCGATTGATTTTGGGGATTCCTACCCACCAATATCTGCTCAGTACGGCTTCCGTATCTCACGAGGCGACTGAGCTTGAGCAGCTTGACGAAGTTGAGCAGCCGAACGACTCGGGCCATCGCGGAGTCCGGGTCCGGTTGCGCGCCGGTGATGACGGGTATCAGCCACACCACGATGTCTAGCGGAGCGCTGCTGATGACGTCGACGAGGAACCAGCCGCGGAGGTAGCGCTTGGCTATCTCTCCGCGGTCTATGACGACGTTTCTGGTAAGGTCCTCGACCACACCTGGTAACAATGTAGCGACAATTCGAATATTTTGACATTCGAACACCTACTTAATATGTGGAATATTCAATGTTCGTATAGTTTTAAATGTTTTGAATATTCGAATATTTTTAAATGTCTCGAATATTCGAATTATTTTTTCAATATTTTGAATATTCAAAACTTTTCAAACATTTGGAATATTAAACTATTTGCTCATATAATCCACAGACTATGCACATTTAAAAGTTGAAAATTTGCGCGGTGCAGCCTAACTACGGGTGCAAAGAAAAAACTCTCAATAATTAATTATGACGAAACGTAACGAATTTTATGAATGACAGAGTCCGTGGATTATAATTTATTTATGACACCAGCTTCTCTGTAAGCTAATAAAGAAGGCACTTGATAAATATGTGCTTGGTATGAGAATTCTGACTATGCACCGTGTGCGGACTTATTTCCCTCGAATATACAATCGTACATGTGTAGGCCATGCGTAACAAGAAATCAGCTTTTCAATGTAGCCAATATTTACTTCTAAGCATACATACAAGCTAAGCGTTTCCCATCAAATGTCCTAATCGGACATGCTTTCGGAACGAGTTCCACGGAGTATCTCCCATTTTGTTTAACTTGAGCGAGTATGAAAGAAAATATTTGTTTAGGCAAAGCAAGATTTGGAAACATTCCATCCTCATTTTTAGATTATTATATAAAGCCTTTTTGCTATAATGTACAGCATCGCAAAAACGAACGACTCTTTTTTAAATACTCATTTTCGTTTTTTTTTTTTTCAATTTCTGTTATCTATAGTCGAGTTACACCACTTGAGAAATTGAGCAGCAGCGGATGAGGGGAAATTCCCGGGGGAACCTCGCATTTACTCCGCCATCAGGTTCTTTTTCGTGTTTGACAGAGAGGAACGGTGAACAGGGGAAGGGGTAAGAGGTAATGTGAAGCTGGAGAGAGAAGTGTGTGTTGCAAGGAGATTACTGAGCATAAACTGCTCCCGTTACTCGTGAGGCATTGTATTGGTTGATTGTATTGGTTCATGTCATGTCTCCAAATTAGAGGCATGTCCTTTTTTTACGTGAAACGTTTTTTTTTTATTATTTGGGCCGGATTTCGTGAAGCCATGGCTTCTAACGCGCGCAGTGTTGCATTATGGGACGTCACAGACCTGCGCACCAATTCAGTTTCTCCGCTAAATTTAGTGGGGAAGTTGAATTGGTGTATAGGTTTGTGTCGAGCGCAGTGTTGCGTTATGGAACGCCACAGACCCATACACCAATTAATTTTCTCCGCTAAATTTAGCGGGGAAGTTGAATTGATGTGTAGGCCACGCTACATCAATTTCTCCGCTAAATTTAGAAAGAAAATTAACGTCCCGTGACCTACACAGATTTATCAGTTTCCCCGCTAAATTTAGGGGAAATGGACGTCATGTGACCTGATGCACGTGATGCTAGAACGTTTCACGTATGCAACACAAGTGCCCAGCAATTTGCCATACATCTCTTTTTTTATTATTTCGGCACTCCCAGAACGCGTTATAACTTATAAGGACGCGGCACATACATGAGCGATGCCCTATATGGGCAATAAATATATCGATACTGCGATACACAGCAGACGCACCACGGAGGGGCCCACATACGAACGGGGAATGGAACGTTTCCTGAGCGCGCGCTTATGGTTCCTTTCGTGCACAGGAGTTTCACGTACCTGTTCTGAAGTTGAGGAAGATGTCTGAAATGAGAAGTACTTCGGTGATCGCCAAGAAAATTATCCATCGTGTGCTTGCCCTCCCAGGAAAAAACGCAATGTACAGAGGCACAAACACCATGTTGGCCACCAGTAGAAGCACCATTATAGCGTCCCACGTTTTCCTGCGTACCAAAAACAAACACACAAACAACTGGAGGAAACAATCTAGTTCAGATAAACTCATTCAAATGCACCACGAAAAGCGAGAGAAAGTAATGTTAGATTTCCAGTCAGTATAGGCTAAGAGTTCACGTGTATCGAGAGACCATGCACTGAAGAGCAGTCTATAATCAGGCGCGATGCCTATAGAGGTTTGTCACTCTTTAGTGCTGACAAAGTGAGAGCAGATAAAAAAAGAACAAAAACTACGCGTATAGCAATGTTCGTAAACAGACCCGTAGTGAAATTTTCTAAAGAAATCATTGACTGTCTCTATCATTTACCAAAAACGTTCTAAACGCATGACATTGATTGGGCCTCTTCGACTCCTTTCGCGGGCTCAGCACGGAGGTCGCTTAAGGGCACCTTGCGAGGATTTTGTGTATAAAGCCGTCACGGTGTCAGTAACGTCATGTGACGTTGTGTAGTATCACCTGACATCACCTGACATCATCATTATAGTATCACCTGCCATCACCTGACATAACGTGACATGACGTCAGTGTCACGTGACGCTAGTGTCATGTGCCGTCATGGTGTCACCTGACGCCAGAAAGGACCCGTAAATGATATGCATTTAGGGTGCCTTTTTGTCAAGTCCAGCGAGACTAACTCATCACATCCTCCATCCTCCATCCTCTCTACCCCGCTCATTTCACTCCATCCCCCAGTCCCCATCTTGATGGCTTCAGCTAAGAAGGGCTGATACTTCAAAAACTAAAGCCATCTCCCTCTCTCTCTCTCTCTCTCTCCCTCCAGGGCGCCTTTGGCATTATGTTGTGATATTACGTGATAATGTGACGTCACCAAGACTATATCCCAATAAAAAAAAGCATCACATAAAAAAAAACATTTCTTTGACAGGAGCATTTCTACCTGAAGGTTCCGTCAGGATGGAGTGTCCAACCCGGCGGTTTCTCCGGGCCATCCTCGGCCAGCCTGATGGAAACGTATCGACGTCTCATGGATGGCATCAGTAGCGATTTCAGCTGCGACTTGATTGCGCCCTTACTGTCTAAAAAAGAAGTGTGGCTGCAGATTGGTGAGACAACCGCCCCCCTCTCTCCAATATTTCATCGGGATTTAGATTCTCCAATTACTGGTATAATAGCGTAATAGACACTTCCTGAAATTCAGTCAGGCCACTATGATCACTACATCACCTTCTTTGTATGACATCTGTGCCGCACTATAGGGGGTATTCACTGGACGCCATATCTGAAGGCGATGTTTAGAGCGCATGCTCAGAACGAACTCACAGTAATAGGCTGATGAGACGAGCAATCTTGATGGTCCGTAATGCACGTTGCAAAATAACTGCGGAAGCTCGCCGTCAGCACGCGCTCAGCAGCTGCGCACACAGCTATGGCCGCCAGTGAATACCCCCTATAGGGACTATTCACTGGCGGCCATATGTGAGTGCGCGGCATGCTGAGCGCATGCATGCTGACGGCGAGCTTCCGCAGTTCTTTAGCAACCTGCATCCCGCGCTATCAAGACTGCCAATCTTAACAGGCTATTAATGTGAGCTCGTTCTGAGCATGCGCTCTAAACATCGCCCTCAAATATGGCGTCCAGTAAATACCCCCTAAATGGCAGGTCTTCTGATGACTGACGGATCAAGCAACGTTACCATGGCTACGTTTACATGAGTGCGATCGTAGCGCATCGGATCGAGCAGGGACCAATCGCACGCAGCCTGTCTTCCTAATTCTTCCTCTCCTGCCCGTCTTCTACTGCTACCAATCAGAATGGTCAAATCACGATTCGATGCGGTATACGGTGGCATCTGCAGCGAATGCCACGAGTACGGTGACGAGAGCTCCAGGGGGCTGCTCTGAAGCGTTCTTCCGGAGAACGAAAGCGCTAGAAATGCACATCTTAAAGCCAAGAGCGCTGGCTAGCTCGCACTTGTAGTTTTGGCTGTATGGGCCAGGTTGACAAGCTTCCTATAACGCCTGGCCCCTTTTCGTGACGCGTGCGCTCCGTGGCGCAGCCCGCCAGACGTAGCGGAACCGGTGGAACGTTCGATACACATTACTTGAGGTAGAAAGTGAGTCTGTTGTAATTTTTACGGTAAACATGAAGTTTGCACAAAAGGTGGCGCAAAAAGAACGTCGTTCAAAAGCGGGCCTCATCCGCTGCCCATGGAGCCGTTGACGCTTGCAAGTATAGCGTCAACTGCGCCAGTGCACAGGGTCCGTGTCTCGAGCGGCCCTTGGAAGCAAATGGCGGCGGAGTACCCGCTTGTGGCACGTGTTAGCGGTACTTGTGAAAAGAAAAAAAAAACGCCGTTATTAAAGAGTTTTATATCCGCCCGTGCCTGCGCACTCGCTTGCAGGCAACAAAGGAGAACCGTTTTCGAACGCCGCTCTTCCGTTACTTCCGTGGTCCGTGGAGCTTGTCAACATATATCTAAGGACGCCGGGAGCAAGTTGTTGAAGGTGCATCCAAGAGTATGATGCGAGGTTCCGACTGGTGCCCCTGCCCCGTGCGTGTAAGCACGTGCAGCATGCGCGTGAAGATAGCTTTGGCAATCTTGCACTTGCACGTGCTTGCTCACACGAGCAAGAACATGGCGGCGGCCAGATGCCTTGCATTTCAGAGTATTAATAGATCGTGTTTTCAGGCCACGCTATCTGTAGCGGGAGCTCGCGCCGGCACTTCGATGCATGCTCTGAACCGCGCGCAAGTAGCGGTAGAGGACCTTTGGAAACGATGTACTCCCTGTAAGAGTTTTAGTAGATCGTACGCTGTCACTATGGAAAGCGGGTCCAGCGGGCGCGTGCTCAATCCATGCTTCGAAGCGACGGCACGAGCTCCCGCAAGCAAAGCGAAGCTCTAGCTTACGTTCTACACACTGTGCGTTCCCCTAAAGGTCACTTTTATTATCAAGACCTGTGTATGCGTTAATTTTTAACTAGGGTCAAATCAATATGTTGCTACAATCGGCTCTAAGCCCCTTGACGCGTAAAATCTTATCGGTGTGGGTAGAGGCGCTTCGTTGTGACTCTAGTTTTGACTTATAGTATCTTCTGGCACCATCAAAACTGAAATAAATCGAGGAAAAACTGCACAGTGCAGAACACATTGTTGTATGCCATTGACTTGAGAAAGTGACGGTGTCAGATGACACACTGCTTGCTCACTACCGCCATTAGTACGACATACTGCAAGTTCAATACCGCCATTAATTTGACTGCTATTTAGACCACCAGATGGCGCTGAATCCTAAAAAACAAAAAGTATATTCTATACATGGCTTGCACTGACGTCACATCGCATACTTTTGACCACCATGTAAGAGGAGGAGGGGAAGCTGCTTTTGCAAGAGTTTTGAGTGACGGGTTAATCTTCTACTATAATCTTCAGGGAGGAGAATAGCGCCGCCTGTGTAAATTCGGGGGGCACAAAAGAGGGTCCTGATAGGAGGAGAGCTCTTTCTTGCCCTCTTCTGTGGTGGTCATCGGAGCGCTCATTGAATGACGTCACGTGCAACCCATGTTTACTTTGTTTCACCTTAAGTCCAGACACAGCCTACGTGTCGTACGGCCGTTCCCGTCCGCCAGACGCGCTTCATATACTTGCCAACATTGATACTTGCACTTTTGCGTACCGACGGAAGGCTTGCGGACACGACTGCTGGTCGAGAAGTCGCCATAAAGACTGCTCTTGATCCCTTCTGACGTCTGTGTGTTCATTGCTCTGCCGATGCGATGAACCAGAAGTCAATCCCAAACGAGCCACTTTCTTCGGCGTACATAATGTGTGGAAAGTGCAAACTGTAAACGAAAAGCGTAGGTGTCACACATCAACCGTGCACCATTAGCTCGAGACTTATCGTGCTTTATTTTATTAGATGACCCCTTGTACGTGAACAATGTTTCATCTCAAAATTTCGCATAATGTTCCATTTCTGTGTGTCTGTGTGTGTGTCCGAGGAAAAAAAAAGGTGGGGGTATTTTTGTTGCAGATGTGTTTCATTATTTCTCATCATTCGTGCATTTTTCTAGTAGCTTGAATGTGACCACTGAATGTATAGTTTTCCTTCATGCTGACAAAACACGAATGACGCCAATTATGACGCCAATTTAAGCGTTTACCACATGGGAAATAGTTTGCGCCACTTTGAGGTTTCCGTGTTCAATACATAACTTGTATGTGGCATCACCTCACACTATTCGTGGTGAACCCTTCTCGACTTATGCTAAGAAGCACGCAATTAGTTAAGTCTGGTTCAACACTTAGATGATAAAATAACCGTGACAACCCCGCCCCGTACGCCACGTGGCATCCAATCCAAGGAATAGCTGCGTGAAGCAACCACAACTCAAAAAACAGATGCGCGTCCATATTCCGCCCCATCTGTGAGTGACCCTCGAGCTAGCAATCTGACCATCCATTTATGATCCTGAGCAGATTTACACGGTACTCATCACAAGCAATTAAATTACTTGTAATCTTATTACTTTCAGGAATAATAAAATGACTTGTAATCGGTTACTATGATTTTTCTACTCCTTCCTAATGGCGCCTTTAGTTTCTACAAGTTTCCTACTAAGGATTCCTCGAACCAAGGGCCCTAAACTCATCAAGCACAGAGTTGGAGCCAGAAGTTGGCGGAGCGCGCCGATTGTAAGTCGGCGAAAAAAGCGCGAAGTCATCGTCGTGATCGGCCAATCGGTGCGCTCTGTCAACTTCGGCCCCAACTTTGTGTTTGACGAGTTTAGAGGCCCAAGTCTCCGAAAGGAAGATGGTTCACCAGAATTGGTGTACTGAGAAGATGAGTCGTTTGTAACTCGGCGATTCTTGTTCAATAATGGACAGCCTACGAAAAGGCCGTTTTTGAACCGGAAGAAAAATCTGTCGTTTTGAAAATCTGGACTTAAAGACCGAAGACCAGTTCGCGCTTTCCACTTTTCTCTCCCTTCCCCCTCTCCCCCTTCTACCCTGTCCACCTTTGCCGGTTTCCTCCTCCCCCATCGTGAAGAGGATCTTCTGCCTTGAAGAATCTCGAGTCTGGTCGCCGGCCTTTAAGCGGAGAAGTAGTGCAGTTACTTCTCAAGTAACAGTCAATTATTCGAATTGAATATTTTTAACCAAAAGTAACTGTAATTAAAATCTTTTTTTTGTAACGTGTCTAAGAACTGATCTTGAGCTTGTTGCCTTCACGCACCGAAGAACGGCTCAGTCAGGATGAGCGGGTAGGTAATACATGGTAATACCCTAGGTAATACACATTAGGGAGTTTTCGTAGATCGCGTTTCTCCCTCCGCTAAGCCCTCAGCAACGAAGAAGCCGCTACTGCGCCTGCGCGCCAATGACCTTGACTGTAGTTCTGGGTATCGTAGCGGGTTGCGGAGAGCGTTGCGGGACAGCGAAAACGATCTACGAACACTCCCTATTAGGGAATGTTAGCAAACCGTTACCGTGTTACGCGTACCGCACTGCCGGAGCCTGTGAAGAATGCTTTTAAGCGGGCGCCCCGCGGTGACGGTATTACCCGGCGCGCGTTTAAAAGCATGCTTTAGAGGCTCCGGTAGTGCGGTTCGCGGAGCAAGGTAACGGTTTGCTAAAAGTCCCCAATGTCTGTGAATGCACCCGATCTAAGCGACTCAATCAGCCTTTATTCAAAATTAACACTGCAGAAGGCAGGCGTCATTGCACATCCAGAGTCCAACGCACTATCTCCACCGCGGAAGACGCGTGTTCGTCGCTTTGGAAAGCGAGCAAATGAAATGCCATGCGCTCTAACGTTGGAAACGATACTGGCCAGAAGTCATTTACTTGAACAGAAGCGGCGTCAAAGCGAAACGCATTTATTAAAATGAAGTATCCGAGACTGTGGGCGCTTGAATGATCGACACGACGGCAACACGTACCATTATCGCTAAGTCTATAATCCACGAGAACAGGAAACGCGATTGCTACGCCCGAATATCTCCAACGAAG